TGGATATTCTTTGATGTCTCACCTGTCTCTCATTATTTCTTCCTGTAAAGTGCTCTCCCTCTCCCCTCTCGCACAAAAAATATTTTGTGGAATTAATAATGTGGGTCTTGGTTAAGTGGAGAAACGCACACACCTTCTTACCCTGATCCCCTTTTTTTCTTCTGTTTTTTTCACCATTATTATCGCTTCTCTAACCATAACAAACCTTTTTTTATTTAAAATTTATTTTAAATTATCTATTACTATTATTTTTTAAATTTTATTTAAAAAAGAGATAAATATTTTTATTTTAATAATAATATTATTAATTTTATTATATAAAACTCTCTTTATTTTTATTTTTATTCTTAAAAAATAATATAAATAAAAATATAAATTATTCTAAAATCTTTAATTTAAAGATACATAAAATTAAAAACATATGCAAAGAGAGTACTGCATTTAATTTAAAAATCAAAAAATAAACATTACTTGTTAAATTTTAATAGTTTTAGTTTTGATTTTTTTACTTTTTTATATATGAATTTTAAATAAAATTTTAACGATTTATATAAATAATAATTAAATTTTTATTACATAATTTTTATTAAATAAAATAAAATAATAATTATAATAATTATAATATATTAAATTTTATATAAAGTTTATATTAAAAAATTAAAATTAAAATTAAATCAAGGTAATAATATTTTCCTTTTCTTTTTTTTTTGGGAGGGGCGGTGGGGGATGGGGGAGTTGTGGAAAACGGAGTTTCTGGGCTATGGTTGGACCCAAACAATTTCCAAATTCCAGGCAGTCTGAAAAGGACGATGTTTTTCCAAAGTCGGGTATAAATTAACTGAAACTCTAGATGGGACCGAAGGATTGATAGCGCACTTGCTACAGTGGTTTGCCATTTTTTCCTACTGATTGAGATTTACCAGTTCTTTTGAACAGATCAATGATTAAGTAATTTTTATGAATTTTTAAGTTTTAACGTGAAAATGACATGTATTTTATCAAATAAGAGAATTATTTGTTTTAATATATATAAATTAACTCAAAAATATCAAAATATTTAAGAAAAAAATATCTCTAGAGATTGAAGAGTTTCAGGTTGTGGTCCAACTTGACCTAACTTGTGCTTGTTGCGGCCTTAATCTACTTAGAATAAAGATTAAAACGATGTCATTGGATAGTTAATTGAGACTTGTTCCTATTAATTATTATTTGAGAACTTTGACTTGTTATGCCAGAATTAGAGTTTGAAAGACTAGGTTTACTGTTTAGTTGTAGAATTTGTTTAACATGTGTTATAGGGATATGTTAAATATATAATAATATTATTTTTTTATATTTATTTATAATAAAAAATTAAAAAATTAATTTTATTTTTATCACTAATTAATGCTATATAAAAAGTTTTTAATTGAACAATTAATAAAATTAAAGTTAATTTTTAGTTTAATTAAAAAAATATATAATTTATACACAAACACATGTTAAAAAAATCCTTAGTTTTATTGTGAGAAGTTAATTAATTGATTGGGTTCCAAATCAGCATGTTCTATTCTTAATTCTTTCAATGGATAAAGAGTATATATATATATATATAGTATTATACTCTATATAGAAAGAAATAGAAATATCTCTTAGTCTGTGTATCTTAAAGGCTTGATTTAGGGTTTAGGGAGTAGAAGGCTATGTTTAACATGCACAACATGATATGTATTGCTTTACTTTTGTAATAATCATTGAGTTAATTATTTCCTTAATTTCGAGATTTGTTGTAGGGCACTTGAGCTTGGATACTTATAGGATTGCCCTTTAATTAACTTCTAATACTAAGTGCTTTACTAAGAATTAAGAAAGTTTTAGTTCAAATCACTTAAAACTCAAACATCATTTTTAAAAAACAAAATAACTTGGCACGTGCAATTGGCATAGTTGTTTATCTTCTAAACCTAATAGTGTATTTAGTTTAAAGAAAATAAAGAGAAATAGAGAGGAAGGGAGGAGAAGTAACTTTGTTTTGACTAATTAAATTAAGTCGTTAGACTAATAAAATATTTTAATTGATTATAACAACTGTACCTTCCCTCAAACTAAACAACTTACAAAAACTTCATATAAAACTTGAGTTTGATTTATGCTATTTTTTTTTTATTGTTATACGTCCATACTCCCTCTCTAAGCACTACCAAAATGAGTTGAGTCTTTGTGAAGATAGCTTAAACTAATCACACCTCCAAAGAAAAGGTGAATCAGTATGTTTCACGTGAGTTATACCAAATGTATTCTTGTTATGACGTTAAAATTCAGGAAAAATATAGTGCATTTTTCACGAGATTGCACACCAAATATATATTCTCCAAATTCGAGTTGCTTGAGGACTACTAACGAGAATATATTTTTTTTCTTCAGCTTCCCCTTCTTCGTGGTTTCCTCTCTGATGTTATTCCTCACCGCCCATCTAGAACTAGAATCTATACACAACTTAGAAAAGGTGAATATGTATTAAAGTCCAACAAATAGGATAAAGAAAATAAATGAAAGTAGAATAAAGGAATATAAAATCAATAATTCTCTTAATAAAATAAAAATTATAGAGAAAATTATGGAGGGTTCTGGTGTTTTGTCCTGCATGTTAGATGACCAAAAGAAACTTTTTGGAAAACTTTTTTTTTTTTTTTTGGTAGATCTATCATTTTGTCGGGTTTCAATACCCTAACGCCATAACCGATTGTTAGAAGATCAAGCTGAGAAGAGCTCACAAATAAGACTCATTACGTATGCTTCTTATATTATTTAACACCATTATATAAATCAATAAATAAAAACTTTTTAATTAAAAAATTATTTGCAAAAGATGAAAATTGATGTATATTTTCTACAAAAAAGATGAGTTTTTTAATATATATGTGAATAGGGGTTCATTTATATATATTATATTATATTTATATAAAATCTTAATAATTTATTTTTTTATTTTTAATAATTAAATTTTTTTTTATATTTATTAAAAATAATTATATTTTTATCTAAAAAAATTTAATAAATCTTAATTATTAAAAATAAAAAAATAAAAAAATAAAAATTTGATATAAATATAATATAAAAAATGTATGCGTAACTAAATCCTTCTATTATATAAATATAATATTTCTTTATTCTAATCCTACTTATCTATCAAGGGGACTTGACATTCAAACTTGTAAACCATCCAACGGGTCTTGGGCGTTGTTTGTGGGGGCATAATTTCGGAATACATCATGGTTTGATTTTTTTTCACCATCAAATGCTTAAGCACCTAATCCCACCCAATGAGCTGATTAATTATGTTTTACGCTGCTTGCTCTCACATGATTAGACACCACTATGTGGCCTTTTTTAGGCATTCTTTTACCTTTCTCTTTGACTTATGCAGGTCATGTTACGCAATTTAATTGCTGGTATTCATTTTTTTCATTTTTTGCAAGTCAACTGCACACAAATATTTTAAACGGCTACTTTACTTATTTTCTATAAAAAAATAATAAAATAAATCTCGGTCATGGGGCAGAAGAAAAATGCATAACATCACAGTTATGCCTCTTCAGAGTTGTTTAGCAGGATAAACGATAATTATTTAAAATTCAAATTTTAAATTTTGAATTTAAATAAAAATAATTTAATTAATAAAATATTATCTTTTACTATCTAATTTATTATTAAATTAAAAAAAAAAAAATCTTACCAGATGATCAAACTGACTTTTATTCCAAGGAAAATATTGAACAGGCTGTTGATTTTCAAGCCCATGTATCCACCTAACAGCCCAGTTGCGCTGACCGGTTGTGATTTTCCTTGGATCGCGCTGATTTTGGGACACAATTTTGTATGCATAAAAGCATTGCGTGAGAATAGTCCCTAAATGTTGTGTTGTGTTGTGTGTCTGGGGTACACAGACCCACTAGAGAGGTTCCCTCGTTTGTGTTGAGATTTCAATGGGTTTCTGAGGTCAGACTTTTTAATAGTCCAAAATGAACGTGGTCCCCTGCGTTACGGGTGCTAGAATTTTACAATTGACTTGTCTTTGCAAACTTTCTTTGCCGGATCCAAGGCTCTGACCAAATGAACCATCGGGTCCAGTAAATGTTTGACAAAATTTGTGGTGTCCTACCGACTGCTACAATTGTCGGTTTACACTTTACAACCGGCCTTACAGTGCTAGGAGCACTTTTTCCGGAGAATTATAATAAAGGAAATAATTTTTCATTTTATCAATTTGATCGAACGATATAAAAATTCCTTTTCTCATTCATTCTATTTTTATCAAACTAAACAGGCTCTGAGCACATTCTTCCATGTGACTGTCTGACTGTAGTGATGGTTATGTTTTTTTAAAATGAAAAGTAGATAGAATGTATTTTGATAAGTAAGTTGAATCTCATATTTTATTTTTTTTCAAACAGATATTAATTTAATATTATATTTTTTTTGTAAAAAAAAAAAAAAAACTCTGAGCATTTCCACCAGCCCTCGTTATATTATTATTGTTAAATCTTGTCTGGTTGCCAAAGCTGTTGATGTCGGGTTTCCAATACGGGCTTTAGGCAAATGGATAAGGTGATGTTTTGGGGTTCAATTTGAGCCTACAACAAAAGAAAATCCCATAATAAGTTTTCTCGCATACAAGCTTGCCCGGCCCAAAAGATGAAATCAAAACAAGGGTCCTGTTTCACCATTCAATTCAAACTATAGTATACCGCGATATCAAAATCCTTAGATAGAGGAGGGGGGTTTAATATTAAGAAACTCCTTCTCAATTCAAAATAATTATTTTATAATTTATTATAGTATCAAATTACAAAACAATTTTTTTTAAAATAAACACGGTTTATTTTTTGCCATGGGTTGTGCCACATATTATGGAGGGCTACACGTTGCAAGCATAATACCATGTGTCAGCTGACATCCATGCAATGGCCTTAGATGGAGAAATCTCATGCTTCATCACATTTCGTCAGTGGTATAGACTATAGAGGAGAGGAGAGATGAGCAAGAACTGGTTACGCCATGGCTACAGCAAGGTAGCTAGGATTTTTGGCAAACCAGACTCGAAGAAGCAGAACTTCCCTGTCCTAGAAGGCCATCCTGCCGCGCAAGAGCATGCAGAGGTGGCCGTCGAAACACACGGCACTATTCGAAACAGAATCAGTAACCTCCACAAAGAATTCAGGATCTACAGATGGAACCCTGACCATCCCAACAGCAAACCCCTTCTCCAATCGTTCTATATTTTGACCTTTCCAACTGCGGCCCCATGGTACAAATATTTCTTAATTTTATTACAATTTCTGAAAAATAAAAAAATTCAATCTAAACAAAATTTTTTTTTTCCCTTTTTAGGTTTTGGATGCATTACAAAAGATAAAAGCTGAAGATGATTCAAGCTTGAGCTATAGGAGGTCATGTAGGGAAGGGATTTGTGGGTCGTGTGCCATGAATATTGATGGGACTAACACAGTGGCCTGCCTTAAGCCTATTGATGCAAGCACCAGCACACCCACTATCATAACTCCTCTGCCTCACATGTTTGTGATTAAAGATTTGGTGATTGATCTCACCAATTTTTATCAACAATACAAGTAACCAACAACATAGTACTTAATTTACAAGATTTAGTATGCTGCTTTTTCCTCTGAATTTGTCTCCATGTTGTCACGACCTAGGTTGATTGAGCCTTGGCTTAAGACCACAAAAGTACCGGAAGAAGGGAGAGAATATAGGCAGTCCCCTGCAGATAGGAAGAAATTGGATGCACTATACGAGTGCATTCTTTGTGCATGCTGCAGCACTTCATGTCCATCTTACTGGTGGAATCCAGAGGAGTTTACAGGACCAGCTGCTTTGCTCCATGCTTATTGATGGATGTGCGACAGGTAATGCTGATGACTAGCTTGCCTAGGTGCCTTGTGTTATATTTAAGCTGAGGAAATAATTCAGTTAATTTGATTGGATTGGCAGCCGGGATGAGTTCACGGAAGCACGGTTGCAATCTATATCGGAAGACCATAAGAAGTTGTACAGATGCAGGACAATTAAGAATTGCACAGCTACATGCCCCAAGAGCCTGAATCCGGTGGATGCTATTCATAAGATGAAGACTAAGCACATGCTTGCTCAACCAATGGAGAGATATGAAAGCCACTAGGTCTTATCAACAGCCAATGCTCAAAACACCTTATCAACCTTGAAACCTTTGCCTATTGCTTACCATGTTGGATCTTGCTTTATTAAGAAAAATGTTTACAAGGAGCACAGTTTACTTTTATGTTATGTTATGTTACGTGTGTTGTACCTCGAGCATTTTTTTCTATCTCCACGTTATGTTATTGTTATGCATAGATCATAAATTAAATAAAATAATAAATAATAAATTTATAAAAAATATCAATAAAAAATATTATCGAAATAAGTATGAAAAACTTATTTTAAGGTGATTCATACATTTGTGAAATGTAAATTAACCAGTGTAGTAGAAATATATATATATATAGCATGTCATTCTAGTATGTTACAATTTTATAATAATACTATAAATCTACATTACTTATAAAGTCACATAATTCAAAATACATTTATTTGTCCAAAAATATTTAGAAGGTAAGGTAAGGTAAAAAAAATTGAAGAATGTGGAGGAACACCTTTAGTTGTGCAAAATGATATATCCTATTTATAAAATTTATAGTCATGTAATTCCAATTTATAAGTTAATGATATGAATAAATTGGATAATTAATATGAAAGAATGTTTTCTTAAATAAGGTAATTAATTTACAACATTTAGTTTGACTAAGTTTTTAATGAAATAATAAATTTAATTTATAAAATATATTATTTTATTTTTTTATTAAAATATTTAAATTCTAACCTATATGCGTGCCCCGTTCAGTTTTTAATGATGGAGAGGTGACGCATCTGACCTCTTAATAAAGGTTTAGCTGAATTGTTACTAGCTTAAAATTAAAATTAAAATTAATTAACTGGCGGAGAGCCCAAATGCACCCACCCAATTGGCCCAAAGCCTTGGGGTGCATCGTCATCATTCCACAGCCTGTGGTGTAGGGTGGAACCAGCTCTCTCAAAAAAGTTGTAATTGTTAAGAGATAAAAAAAAAAGTAGGGGGGAGCCCAATTCATATTTAAATTCATAGATTTTTAGAGATGTGATCTGCCCATGAGCTGAATCTAAGGCCAGTGTCAAATTTGTATGTGCCAGATATGATCAAACTTACAAATTTCGGGCCTAGGCTGTTTGCTAAGTACGATGTTTTAACTTATAACCTTGCTAATGAGTAATGATTTGGGGAAAGATGAATCAAGGACTGGAACTTGTTATTGGACTGGACTAGAACTGACCCAACCCACACCTTCTGGCTCTCGGGTCGGGTAGACCCAGCAATACCCTTTTTCCTCTTATTTCCCATTTTCCCCTTTTCCCTTTGCCTCTTATTATTATTATTTCTTTTCTGGTTTTCTATTCTACCTATTAATTTTTGTTTTCCAAAATCTTTGTAATAATAATTTTTTTTTCCAATGATTATAAAACTCCATTGTCAAAAGGTTGTGTTTATTGTAATTAAAAACTCAATTATTAACTTGATTAGTAAATTATATAAACAAGAGGTAACCTTTTTTCTTCAAATTTTATACTTTTTAGTTCTTAACGTACTATATTTAGAATTCAAAACATCTACTTTTGAGGAAGGAGATTATCTCTAACCTACATGCATGGTCACTTGGCACCACAAATCCTTTTTGTCTTGTCCATTGCCTATTTTTTAAAAAATGCAACCTGACTTTGTGGCATCAAAATTATTCCCGAATTACCCATCTAGCTTATGTTGTTTTCTCCAAGAGGGTTAATTCAGTGGGTAAAGCTTGATATCTTCCTGTGCTTATTATATTTGTCTTGGCAGTCTTCTGTGGATAAGCAGTTTATAAGTACCATTGTAAGTGCTTATTGAAACTAGAGATATACTTTGACTTTAGATTGAAGTAACCTCTCACTATAATCTTTGTTTTACCATTAAAAAAAACAAATGCTGTGTTACAAAGGTTTCTAAAGGAGTAATGATATATATATATTTGGTACTAACTTTTTGGTATCCAGTAATCACATTGAATTTCAACTAATTTGGAATCGAGCTGCCTCAGACCTCATTTAGAAAAAATCTCTCACAATACTTAATTCTCTATTCACAAGATTCGAACTTAAGATCATATTTAAAAGGAATTGAACTCATTCTACTCAAACCAACAGGTTGTTAGTAGGAGTAATGATATTTAAATGTGGTCATATAGATCAAAATGGAGGTCGATTGACGTGGTTTGCCACGTTATTCTGTTGATGTGGCTTTTCTCTCTTCTTTCTTTTTTTTTTTTTTGGTTGTAAAATCTTGGTTTATATGGTTAAAATCAAACTCCTTTGCTATACTAAAGTAATACCATCCACCCAACGAAAATCTTCCTCCGCTTAAACTCTACAGCAATCTTCTGAGGGAAAGGAACACATAACAATTCAATTCTCTTGGTAGAAATGTCCATAAAATAAATTCAAATGAAAATCGACGAAAATTCCCAGTGGTAGAAATCCCCATTGTTGTAAAGAGGAGATCAAATAGAAGAAGGCAGAGTCCTCATCTTCGTCTTTCTCGTCTTCAATTTTTTAAGAGAAATCAAAAACAAATTTAGGCTCCAATAGGTGAAATTGTTACGGGTTACATTAACATTCAATCTAAACCCTAGAAATAGTGAGGTAAAATTCAGAGGGGAAAAAAGAAAAAAAAAAAAAAGAAGAAAAACTAGAGATTTAGTACATCAAGAGGATGAGAAAAAAAAAATTTTGTGAAGGAGAACCATGGATCTAACCATGAATCTAAACCCTAGAAATAAGGAGGTAAAATTCAATGGGAAAAAATAAATAAAACTGGAGATTTAGTATATCAACATGATAAGGAAAAAGAATTGTGAAGGAGAACCATGGAGGAGACCATGGTGAAGAAATCGTTGAGTGATTCAACCGGCTCGTCTTGCTGTAATTTTGGGTCTTTCCTCACCATCGTCGTGTCATCTCACAAGATGTTTTGGCCTCATGATTTCTATTATAGCTATAATCTTATTTTAAAAGAAAAACTAGGATTTTACAAAAATTTAAAAAAAGAGGAAAATCCACGTAGAGGAACAATGTGGCAAACTATGTCAATTGACCTCCACTTCAACCCATACGATGCTCTACCTAAATATTATTACTCTTTTTAAAAAGTGATTTTTTTTTTATGTTGGTTGCACAATAAAAAAAAAAAAAAATTTCTCATCTCTTATTCTACTTTATTTGCATATCATGCTATTTAAACTCAATATCTCTTATTTTTAATAAAAAAGGATAACTACTGAATTATTTAAATCGTTGACAGAAAAAAAAAATGAAAATTAAGAATGTCAAAATAAGCACTCAATAAATTAAATATAAATAAAATGTACATTATATCTCATTAATTTTAAAATTAAATAACGTAATATTTTAAATATCAAGATGTATACACACACTGATTTTGGGCATTTTATGAAAACTTTTATAATTTTTTTGGGTGGGGACAAAATATCAAGCAATGGCAACGGTCAAAATTGGTAAACTGAAATGTTGATGGTATATACAGTATGGAAGCAATGATAGACCTAAACATGAACAATGTTATACTATTCGACCATCTGTCTTCATGTTTGTCAAAGAGACCTCATTTCCTTTTCTTAACAATGGTTCTTCTTCAAAAGCCGGCTGTCCACAACCTCAGACGTGCCCTCGTTTGTGTACCTTATTATTAGGTATTGGCTTGGCTGTAAGCAGCACTAAATTAAACAACAAAACTCAAAAGTCGGCAGGCCTAAATATTGGGAAAGGCAACATAGGAGAAATCTAACCCTTCTAAAAATCTAGAGATCCTCTTTGTCCCTGGACCGAGTCTTCTGCAGTCCTCATTTCCCTTTTCCATACCCAAAAAAGAAAAAAAAAAGAAAAAAGAAAAAAAAAAAAGAAAATCCAAAAATCAAACCCCAAATTGCATCATTTTCAATTAATAAAAGCAATACAACTGTATATCATTATTCTCTTTTTGCTAACCAACTTCTCATCATTTCATCTCATATTGACTCTTTAATCAAAGGAGAAACATGACCAAAAGTCTTCCACCCCCTTGCATTCCTTAGTCCTCTCAATTCATTCTCTCTTCTTTCTTAAACACATTTTCTCCAAAACCCCAAATTGATTTTCCTCACACCATGTTTCAATCCGTCTTTTGCTTAAGATTGATACATTATTTCCCTCAGTGACAAAAATTGCAATTGAAAGATAGGGCAGCAAAACAGAAAAATGGCCATGGACTCACCGGACAATAGGAGGACCGGTTGTGGCCTTTTTAATGCAGTTTTTGGGAGCCGTAGTTTTTGGTCCAAAAGGTCTCCTTCCACCGGTTCTCTTCCGACGGTGGTGAACAACAGCAACTTTGTTAAAGCGCCGAGCAAGAGGCGGCGGAGTGGCTCCCATGACGCTATTCTTTTGGACTCCACCGTGAGTCGGTCCGAGCCGCCGATGAAACCAAAATCAAATTATCCCAACAAGGTCCCTCTACAAAATCAACAAAACCAGTACGGCAGGAAAGGACCAGATGAAGGGAATAAAACGACAATGCCTAATTTGGCGTACGTTAACCAAGGTAGTAGGGTGCCTAAAGAAGCAATTGGAATTTCTGGCGAGCTGGAAAGCATGATTCCAGATTACCAAAAATCAAAGGGAAACAGTAATCTTGTACGTGCCTCGTCGGGAAACGTCATGCTTTTGGGAAATTTGGGTAACTTGAGGCAACCTGGCGGTACCGGAGGAAACACAAACACGAATTCGTATAGCGTTCTCGATCATCTTCCCAGTAAAGAGAAGAATTACAAGACAAAATCAAATTATCCCAACAGTGGAATGGGGAATGTGGTGAAGAAACCGGCGGAGGAAAAGCGCAGTGGAGTAGAATCAGGGTCGTTGTGCAGGGCGATTTCTACGAGAATGGACCCTGAAACGCTCAAGATTATGGGCAATGAGGATTACAAGAGTGGGAATTTCGCGGAGGCGTTGGCTTTGTATGAAGCGGCGATCGCCATTGATCCGAAGAAAGCATCGTATAGAAGCAACAAAAGTGCGGCATTAACGGCTTTGGGGAGGCTGCTTGAGGCAGTTTTCGAGTGCAGAGAAGCCATCCGAATTGAACCCCATTATCACAGAGCTCATCATCGTTTGGCGAACTTACATCTTCGGTAAGGAAAAACCATAGATTATAAGTTTGATGCAGACTAATTTCAAAAATTTTAGTTAGAAGTCGAGGTAACGTTCAAATATGTTTATGTTTATACAGGTTAGGGGAAGTGGAGAAGGCTATCTATCATTGCAAGCATGCAGGACCAGAAGCTGACCATGAAGACATAGCCAAAGCTAAAGCTCTGCAGAAGCATTTGGATAAGTGCACCGAAGCTAAAAGGCTAAGAGATTGGAATGCCCTGATCAAACAGACATGGTGTGCTATCAACACTGGGGCGGACTCTGCGCCACAGGCAAGTAACATCAAACAACGAAATTCAAATCAAGTTTTTCATTTGATTTAGTACATTATGGTAGGCTAAAAATAGCTTCTGTCCCTTGATTAAGTTTGTTGTTTTTGCTTTAGATATATGCATTGCAAGCCGAGGCCTTGCTTAAGCTCCACAGGCATCAAGAAGCCGATGAAGCATTGGCATTATTGAAGGGTCCAAATTTCAGTGTCGATGACTGCACCAAATTCTTTGGCCCCATCGGTAATGCAAATTTGCTAGTGGTACGTGCTCAGGTGGACATGGCAATAGGCAGGTTGGTCTTGTTTGTCAATGTTGTGAAATTAAGGTTTCCTTTCTCCATACTTACACAAACATTTTTTACATAATATTTTTATCCAAAAATATAAATTTATTATTTATAATTAAGAGTTTGTGTTTATCCATCTTAAATCTTAAAAAAATGAAAAAAAAATTCTAAAATTACATTGTTTTAGTAAAATATTATGAGAAAAAATAAAAAATAATATAATTTATATGTTGAAAATAAGATATTTTAATTTTTATAATAAAAATTTATTAAAATTAAGTAATTTAAAGATAATTTTACTCCTACTTTTTAGAAGGGGTATGAATACTTTTTCCTTTCAATTAATTTTAGTTAATTTAAAAAAAAAAAAAAGAAAAAAGAAAAAGAAGAAACCTTATCAACAACACAGTACAAGGTAACATAGACAAATGAAGTTTAAGCCATGCAACAAAGTTTCTAGGCATATAGGTTTTACCCTTTTCCAACAGAATCTAGGCTTTTAGGTTACTAGAGAGAATATAAATTGTGTAAAACAACTCAAAAGGAAATTTGCTGTTGGGACAAAGGAACCAATTAACATAGGCAAAATCCTAGCTTTTCCCACCAACTGGCCCAGCTATAATTAGATTTTGGGTTAATTGTTGTTTGTCATGACCAAGCACCTAATTCTCCTTTTTATATTTCCATTTTTGAAATTAATCAAACTCGTGATCTTTTTATTGACATTATTAGTTTATAAATGCCAGCTGTTTGTCCCGAACTTTCATCAAAGACAGCTAATTAAACATATTGCTTTAAGTTGACCCTTGCCATAAATATATGTAACTGCTGTGTATAACATTAGAGCTAAACAAAGCTGTGACATATTAACCAAGTATTGTCTTAAGAATTTGAATTATAGTTTAAGTTTTATAATTAACATTTAAAAATATCTAATTTGTTAAATATAATAAGTTAATATGAGAATTACTTTCAAAATCATCCACTGATTAATATCAAAATTATATAAATTGTCATTAAAACATCTATTCCTTCAAAAAAAAAAATAACTTCGATTTGACCTGATTCCAAATTGATGTCTCTAAATAAAGTAACATTTCATTTATACTTTTTGTGTGTTTCATCTATTAAATGTCGTGTTAGAAAACAAACAACTTTTTGATTGGGTGTTCAGATTCGATGATGCATTAGCGGCTATTGAGAGAGCAGCTCGGCTTGACTCCAACAACAGGGAAGTAAGTGCAGTAACGCGGAGGGCCAGAGCAGTGGCAGTGGCGCGATCCAATGGCAATGAGCTGTTCAAGGCGTCAAAGTTCTTGGATGCGTGTAATGCTTACGGGGAGGGACTTGACCATGACCCCTTCAACTCAGTGTTGTTGTGCAACCGAGCAGCCTGTCGGTCCAAGCTTGGTCACTACGAGAAAGCCATAGAGGACTGCACTGCTGCACTCAACCTCCGACCGGGCTACAGCAAGGCCAGGCTAAGAAGAGCCGATTGTTATGCCAAGGTGACTCAGTTTTACCTTAACTTTGCAATATCTCTTTAACAGGGTTTTGAAGAGTAATTACTAATTAATGTGAACATAATTAATCAACTACAATACTTATAGGACGACCGTAGCAAAGCTAGAAAATATTTCTAAAAGAAGAAAATAAATTTTAAAAGTAGCAAATTTTAAATAATAAATTAAGTCTATATCCTGGGTTCATTCCTTTATTTGTACTGGATTCTAGAGACCCTACCAGTTTTTGATCGGGCCATTTGGTCTGGCTGGTTTTGAAAACATTGAATATATGACAAGTAGAGAATGACTTTTGGTCGAGTAGGTGAATGAGGACACCAAACTTTCCAAATTGTTGAAATAACACCATGTTTTCAAAACAAAGTGTCAAGAGCAGTAAGTGTGATGCGCCGAATCCCATGTCATTGAGCAGTATAAGTAAGTTTGATGTATAAATGTGAAGATTAAAAACTATTAACAATTTTAACTTAAATTTTTAGAAGTTTGTAAACCTTAATTAAAAGAGTTGTTAGATTAATTGTCAATCTCAATTTGAGTGAGTTATTTTAGTAAAATTGTATCAGATTATACTAAATTAATTTTTAAATAAGTCATTAGCATCTTGATATTAAAAGTTATCTTTTTATTTAAGAGTCATTTTTTCATAGTATGATGTAGATTCAAACTATAAAAAAGAAAATCTTTTCAAAATATTTCTTTTTCTTTTATTATTTTTTTTCCTTTCTATATCTAATGAAGGAAATATAAACGTAGAAGATAACCCTTCTTTTATAAAATTTCTTCCCTGTCCCACAGTTGGAACATGATTTTAACTTGACACACCCATGTTTTCAAAGCATTAATAATACCTTTACCAAGTCAATGAAAGAATATGTTTGGAAAATCTTACAGTGTAAGGAATTCATTTATTTTCGAACTAGTTATGATTAAAGTCAATTCATATTTACATTTTGCAATGATGATTATGTAGAAAACCCAATTAATTATAAAATTTTATATTTGTTAAAAAAAAATTAAATTCAGTTAAATTATATAAATAAAATTCGTGCAAGCTAAATTTGTGAAATCTACCAATGCTTTAAATTTATATGTACTAGCTGGGAAAATGGGAAGCTTCAATACAAGACTACGAGATCCTGCAAAGAGAAACGCCAGATGATGAGGTGAACCAGGCATTGTCTGAGGCCCGGCAGCAGCTCAAGAAACAAAGTGGTGCCTTTCATTCATGAAAAGTTGGGACCCAACATTGGGAAAAGGATGGAATGGAAGAAACTGCAATGGTGCTAGCTAGAGCAGTGGATAAAATCATTTATGCTTTAATGATTTTTTTCCCTTTTTGTCAGGAATTAATTTGATGATGCAATTAGAATTTTAACAATTTCCTACAATTTGATCATGTGTAGACTATGGTTATGTGTGTGTATAATTTTTCTCAGAGGTTATAGCATATACTCCATGAACCATGAAGCTTTCTGACGACGTTATTTTTGTTTTTATGAAATTATGAGATTTTCTTTTTTTCTTTTTATTTTTTATATTTATGGGGTAGGATGTCTCGAGAACAGTTTTTACACATATTGAAATTAATTTCTACTTATGTAATTTTAAATCTTAATCCAG